TTCTTTCAATTTAAAAAGCAATGGATAGTTCATTTCCCAGTGACCATGCGGGCGAAGCCGCGGGTAACGGCTAGTATATAATAATTGTAATCCACAAATTGTTTTATAAATGTATGTAACTTGTTACTTGTGATTTAACTACTAACTATAGTCAACCAAATCTAAGAAATACCTTTTGACGTTTCACATTAATTATTCCGCAATAACTTTGCATCAGCGTACTCACACGATTTAAAATAACCTTTTACGTAAATCCGAAGAGTTATGCAGTTATCTATATTTCATTACAACGTGTATAGTTTTTATCACTAATTTAAATTCGAATATTTCAAACAAAGCAAAATATTAAAAAAAAAACTGTTTTACTTGACGTCGTTTCAATGATTTGTCGCTATGTAACTTAACTTACCGTAGTGTTTGGATGATTAAAATCCATTGTTATGCGAATAATCGGCAAAAATATTCAAATAATCGGTAAAAGTATTCAAATAATCGAATCAATAAAAAATTTTTAATGTATTATTTGTTTAGTAAAATTTTTATTTTTATAATCTTTCAAATTACATGAATCACGAAAAACACAAGTTTTTTTTTAATTTTGTCAACGTAAATTTGCGTAGGCAAAAAAACTCATATACAAGGCAGTGCTAAAAAAACCACAATTTCATTCACCCGCCATTTCGGGAGCTTACTGTGCCTAATGTTGTGATTTTGTGTTTGTCTTCTTATTTTGTGACTCGGCTTTAACTTTTTGAACTGTTACTTCTATATTCGTTGAAGCATGTGCCCATGACACAGGGGATGATTGTGCAAAAGTGGTAGAAAAAACAAAAAAAATGATTATGGATGACTGTGAAAGAGACATTAATTTTGACTGCATTGTTGAAAATCAAATATTAATTAATCTAAACAACGACAGCTCAGCTAGTTGTACTGAAAGTGATTGAATAAAATTAATTTTAATCTAGTTTCAATCTTAAATTTTTATTACCTGTGCCTCTAGAAATAAGCAGTAACAACAAATACGAAGAAACTGATAAATCTTGTGATTTAATTATCCGTTTTTAATTTATTCTGTTATTATTCAAACCAAGCTGTAAATGATTACTAACTCTAAATAATCGATATCGATTTTTTTAAGAATCGAATATTGTACGTTCCGATTTTTGGGTTAGCATGCTTGGTGCAAAAAGTCTGACAGCTGTCAAAATGTATTTCTTAGTTCTTAGATTGGGTTGACTATAGTATCTAAAACAAATGACGAATAATTGTAAAGTAAAACTCGTGTGTAAGTTATTGAGCCAGGGTCTATTGTAGTCTATTCAAAACGTGTTTTTATAATGTTATGGCGACAACTCTTTCAAGAGCATTTTTGACGAACGGCATACTTAAAACTACCTTAAAAATGTTGTCACTTCATACTCACTATTTTCATAGCCTAAACCCTGTTCAAAGCCTCACCGATGGCTGTAAATTTCACACTACACTAGATCTTAGTTAATTTCTTCAGTAAAATTGTTAATTTCTGTTTTCAGTGTTGTTTTAAACACTTAGAATAAAAAATTCCTTTTATAGGACAGTGGAGGCCTATATTCAGGAGTAAATCTTTGACAGGCTTCAGTGTATGAACCGTGTAGTGGCGGTTGAGAATATCCACTACCCCATATCTTCCCGTGGGTGTCGTAAGAGGCGACAGAGGGAGACAGGCAGGAGATGGGCAGCAGCATCTTCCCGATAACAACTGTGTTATAATAAAAAACTGCGGTTGCCAACCCGCTCGCCAAGCGTGGCAACTATGGCAAATATCCCCCCATGAATAACGACGCAAAAAAACGGCCCCCAGTCCCCGGCGGCCCCGCTATTCCTGGCTACGGTGGCGACCATGGTAACGGCGGGGCAGGGGGTGCTAAGAATCTCCGGTGGAGGTTCGGTTGCCACCTACGACGACTCGACCTGGCAACATATAACGCACGCACTCTGAGGACTGACGAGAAGATACTGGAGCTGGAAGAAGAGGTAGACAAGTTACGCTGGCATATTATTGGATTATCCGAGATCCGAAGAGAGGGGGAGGATACGGCAATCCTCGAGTCCGGCAACTTGTTCTACCACCGGGAGGGCGACCATCTGTCCCAAGGAGGTGTCGGATTTATCGTCCACAAGTCTCTCGTCAACAACGTTGTAAAGATTGAGAGTGTGTCGACGAGGGTCGCGTACCTGATACTCAAAATCACCAAACGGTATTCGCTAAAGGTCATACAGGTTTACGCACCAACCTCGGCACATCCCGATGAAGAGGTGGAGGAAATGTATGAGGATATTTCCAGAGCCATGCATTCCTCCAAAACCCACTACACGGTGTTGATGGGAGACTTCAACGCAAACCTAGGCACAAGAGAATGCGGTAAGCTGAAGGTGGGGAAATTTGGAGTAGGGCAACGGAACCGAAGGGGCCAGCAGCTGGCCGACTTTATGGAGAAAGAGGGACTCTTTATGATGAACTCTTTCTTCCAGAAGTGGCCCCACAGGAAGTGAACCTGGTCGAGCCCCGACGGTTCAACAAAAATGAGATTGACTTCATTATGACGACCAGACGCCAACTGTTCAGTGATGTCTCAGTGATCGCAAGGGTGAAAACTGGCAGCGATCACCGAATGGTTAGAGGCACACTGACCCTAAATGTTAAGTTGGAGAGGTCTCGTCCAATGAAGTCAACGCTCCGTCCCCCCTCGTGCTCTAATCCAGAATCCCGAAACCTTTCAGCTCGAGTTACAAAACCGCTATCAGTGCCTAGAGGATTGCAATGCAGTGGACAATATGAATGACAAGCTCGTGGAAACTGTCCATGCGGTCGGAGCTAAGTTCTGCAAGACCCGCCGCAGAAGAACACAAAAACTCTCCGATCACACTCTTAATCTCATGGCAGTTAGACGGGAGATGAGGCTGCAACCGTCAACAGATTTGACAGCATACAGGCAACTGGACAGACAGATCTCCAAATGCATGCGGTGAGACCTACGCAACTTTAATACTGCTCGTATTAAAGAAGCGATCGAGCGGAGCCAGGGCTCCAAAGTCTTTGCCAGACATCTGTCTGCCAGAAAGAGCCAACTGTCAAGGCTGAAGACTGAGTGTGGCAACATCGTTTCCGGGACACCTGAGATTCTGAGTGAGATTGAGAGGTTCTATGGGCAGCTGTACACATCATCGTTGGAGCCACACGCAAGTGTGAGTAACGATCCAAGAGCAAGTCTTATCCGACACTATTCCGATCATATCCCGGACGTCAGTCTGAGCGAGATTAGAATGGCTCTCCACCACCTTAAAAACTGCAAGGCCCCGGGCGAGGATGGAATTACAGCGGAGCTTCTGAAAGCGGGTGGAACACTGGTACTTGAAGTCCTTCAGAAGCTCTTCAATTCATCCATGGTGGCACTACTCCGGAGGCGTGGAGCAGAAGCGCGGTGGTCTTGTTCTTTAAGAAAGGCGACAACGCTCTCTTGAAGAACTACAGACCGATTTCCCTTCTGAGCCGCGTCTACGTGCTGTTTTCGAGAGTCATTACGAATCGTCTCGCACGCAGACTCGACGACTTCCAGCCTCCCGAACAAGCCGGTTTCCGAAAAGGCTTCAGTACCATAGACCACATACATACCCTTCGGCAAATTGTACAGAAGTCCGAAGAGTACAATCTGTCACTTTGCCTGGCGTATGTGGACTATGAGAAAGCCTTTGATTCCGTCGAAATTTGGGCGGTGCTACAGTCTCTTCAGCGGTGCCTAGTTGACTGTCGGTATATTGAAGTGCTGAAGTGTTTGTACAGTAGGGCTACGATGGCTATCCGAGTACAGAACCAGAGTACGAAACCTATCCAACTGCAGAGAGGTGTAAGACAGGGTGATGTTATATCCCCGAAACTCTTCACCGCTGCGTTGGAAGACGTTTTCAAGCTACTGGACTGGAAAGGATACGGTATTAACATCAATGGCGAGTACATCACTCACCTTCGATTTGCCGACGATATATATAGTCCTTATGGCAGAATCGCTGGAGGACCTTAGCACTATGCTCAATGACCTCATTGGTGTCTCCCAACGGATAGGTCTTAAGATGAACATGGACAAAACAAAGATCATGTTTAATGTCCATATCAAACCTATGCCGGTAGTTGTTGGGAGCACTTTGCTCGAAGTTGTTGACGAGTACGTTTACCTGGGACAAATAGTCCGACTAGGTAAGTCCAACTTCGACCGAGAGGTCAATCGACGGATTCAACTCGGCTGGGCAGCGTTCGGGAAATTACGACACATCTTCACGTCAGGTATACCTCAATCTCTGAAAACTAAAGTGTACAACCAGTGCGTGTTGCCAGTGATGACTTACGGATCAGAGACGTGGTCCTTCACCGCTGGCCGTATGAGGACGCTCAAGGTTGCTCAGCGAGCTATGGAGAGGGCTATGCTCGGAGTTTCACTGCGTGATAGACTCAGAAATGAGGATATCCGCAGTAAAACCAGAGTGACCGACATAGCCCAACGGATTAGTAAGCTGAAGTGGCAATGTGCCGGCCATATAGCTCGAAGAACCGATAACCGATGGGGAAGAAAGGTTCTCGAGTGGCAGCCTCGTACCGGTAGGCGTAGTGTAGGGCGACCCCCCACTAGATGGAGTGACGACCTGGTAAGACATGCAGGAAGTCGATGGATGCAGGTGGCTCAGGACCGTGCTTTGTGGCATTACTTGGGGGAGGCCTATGTTCAGCAGTGGACTTGTGAAGGGCTGTAATGATGATGATGATGATGAGTGTATGAACGAAACAGTGTCATAGTATTTTTTATTATCATGTTTTTATTCACTTGTTTTGTTCTCTGTTTGTTTGTTTAGTACAAAATTTGTTAACGATTTTAAACTAACTTTGCGCTGAGCTAGAGAAATGAAACTTTAAGCATAGTTTAGAATGAAAACGTGGTAAAAATATAATTATTTATTTTTCTTTTCAGAAGTACGATATTTATAGGAGACGTCAGCGGCTGTTTGTCGAGATGGAACAGATGGCATCTAGACCGTTTAGTCAAGTGTGTGTGGAGTTAGAAAAGGGAGGCGGGGGTAAGTGATGAACCAAATACAAATAAATAAATACTGTTTCATGTATAGTGAGATTCATAATTGTCTGGTAATATTAAATGAAACTTTTTTAACTTAATTTTAATTCATGACGTTTGGGGTGGCTTGCAGCACCCATGGTAACGGGGGAACTGAGATGTTGGACGTCCTAATATCATAGTTAGTCCGGGCTACCTTCAGTTTTTGAAAATTAATTTTTGGTCCGATTTACGCAGAACGAGCTTACAGTATCTTGAACTCTTTCAGTAGTTTGCTTGGGTTTGGATTTAATTTTGTTAATTATAGGATCCCAAACAGATAGCAGCAACCATCTTCTCTATTGAAATTAGGATGTTTTTTAATTTCAATAACCTCGCGTAACCCGAACGAACACCGATTCCTACCAAGGATGATGATATCCTTGGTAGGAATCGTTGTTCATTTTGCGAGGATTTGTGGTTGTTAAAGGTCATATAATTGTTTAGATTATTAATAGAATAAAATGTTGCAACAATTAATGGTGTCTCAACAAAATCATAAAGAATGCGAAAAGGGATGGATAATAAACGGCTTCGCCCATAAAAGAGTAGACATCTGAACGGATGCTAACCACTACTTATCAAGTCTGATGTAATGGTGAGGACGATCTTGAACATGTTCACAAACTGCAGACTTCCCGGAGCGTCGGTGCTTCACGTCAGTTATATGTTCTTTCACGCGGGCTTTTATAGATCTTTTTGTTTGTCCTATTTAAGAGTGGTGACCACATTCACTATCTAGCTTGTACACTCCTGCATCTTGTAGAGGAATATTACACTTGATGGAAGCTCGCTTCAAGATGTAGCAAACCTTGTCTGTGACTCCTCTGACATACGTTAGTACAGCAGGTACACGCTCGACTGTGGCCGGCTTCACTCGTTCACTGTGACGTAGGCGCGGGACCCGAAGCTTGTTGTCGTGCAATACTTGCTCGACGTGCTGAATGTCGGCGGCCGGATGTTTTCTGTCACAGATCCCTTGTGCTCTCTGAAACTAAGATTTACCCACGGTAGCTAACTGTGAAGGATGATGGTGAGATTCACCATTGAAATATTGGTTACCGGTGACCAATAGACGGATTTCGGATGACTGAAACATCTAGGAAAACTAAAGAATTATTTGCCTCTAACTCCATTGTGAATTGTATTTTAAAGTTCATAGAGTAATGGTTGTCAACATGCAGTTCTTTGTTAGATGGTAAAAATTTGAAACTGTCGTCTACGTACCGCTTGTAGAATCAAAGTCAAGTCAAGTGGCTGTTCACTCCGAAATAACAAAATAATAAGACGAAATACTATTTAAAGCGAAGTACTAGCATTGCTTTTAACATTACGCTATTGGTGAGTTTAAAATAAATAAATGCTTGGGTTAGGAGTGGTTCACGGTTCGAAATCCGAACCTAGGTACACGAAGTATCATTTTCAAAATTTTTTTTAAATGTATCCTAGAGTGATAATGAACCACTATAATTTTTATGTAATTTTTTTTAAACCGAATAGTGCCATAAAAATTACATTTAAACTATCGCTTTAAATTTTCGCGTGAAAAAGCTAGCCGCCATTTTGTTTAACTCGTGAGGTCACAGTCGTCGATTCTGCCGATTTTGCAAAGGAATAAGATAGGTACTTTTTAATGTTTATTAATGAGTTATCATCTAAATCATTGTGTTGTGCTTGAATGCAAAAATACGAGCATAAGAACGCCGAGAAAGTTATGGATTCAATTGCTGATTTAAATATAAGAGAAATACTTGGCTAAAACTGGCAAGAAGATACCTGAACACATTGTCTACATAAACCAGACTATTCTTCTGTAAAGATCATTTTGATGAAAGTATGACTTATATTTAACTATCGTTTAATACAAAACAAACATCATGAGGTGAAGGGTATCGCAAGTCAAATTTTGTAATAAATTACGTTAACTTAGTTATTATAACCAATGATTGCTAATGATTGTAATTATAGACAAACTAAACTATGCTAGCTACTAAACTATATTTTATCAAAATACACTCTCACCTGGTATTGTGTTTTGTATTAACAAAAGTTGGTAATAGGCACGTACATTAATGTTTTAACATTCCTCAACTCAGCATAACAAAAATTGTGATTGCATTCAAAAAATTTTGCAAATTTGTTCGGCGTCGCGCGTACAATGACCCTTGTCAGCTAGATTTTAGGTTTTTAAGTTTCACTGCTGGTTTTATGTTTAGGTATTTTCATGATTTTTTAATGAAATTATCTTTTCATTTAGCTGTACTAATATGATAGAATGTGAATATGCTAATTAAACGTTTCTATTTTCAAAATGATTTTTTTATCGGAATCGACTTTGTTTTTGTCCCACCATCAAAGGTATCCTTTGTAATATCGTCTGTCTTCGTTTTCGGGAGCGTTTCAAATACACTATAAGATAGGCGCTAGATGGAATAAACATTAATAACTTAATATAAATCGGTAAGCTATGAAATCGTGGTTATAAATGAATTCGATAAGGTAATTTTATTTAAGATAATTAATTTTTTTAATATAAATTTGTAATTTTTTTAACTATTTATTTTAACGGTTCAAACTTACATATATTAACCATCTTTAGAGCACCGCACAAAGAGAAGTCCGAAATAACAAAATAATAAGATGAAACACTATTTAAAACGATGTATGTACTAGCAATGCTTTTAACATTACGCTATTGGTGAGTTTAAAAATAAAATGTTGTGAAAAATGCTTGTGTTAGGAGTGGTTCGCGACAGTTGTAGAATGGCGGATTCGAACCCACAAAGTTTTGAGTTCGCAGTCCGCACCCTGCCATTAGGCTACTCTAGTTTACTAAACTGTGTTCTATGTCATTCTGTCGCTGGCTAAATAGTGGGTGTTTTGGCGCAGAATAAAATGATATCTATGATATGGTTCACGATATTTTCTGACCAGACCAGAGCGGCGGCACTCAGGTATGAGGTGGAATGCTTAACAGATTTCATAGCGGGGAAGTTAACTTGTTAGGAAAATGTTTCTTTCGGGTTTTATTAGTTACGTTTTATATTAATTATTTAACTACATTATAAATTAATAAACCAAACTATGGATATTCCTAAAAGTAAAGTACTTTAAAATCAGTGTGATTTGAAACTGGATGAAACGAGAAAGCTATACTAAAAGAGACGAATATATACAATATATAGGATTTAGTTTGCGAGAAAATGAGATACTTATATAAAATGTTATGTTAAATTAGGCATGTATAGGCCATCTAGTGTCTATTTTACGTACCATCTTGAGAGATCTTTACGTGGTTGAGTCATGCTGCAGCTATATTAATTGTATAGTTGTAGTACGAATGGGTCGGCTCGACCGGGGAAGGACCACGCTCTCACAGAATACCAGCGTTAAATATCAGCTTAATACTGCTGTGTTTCGTATGGTGAGTGTAGAGAACCGGAGAACCTTTTTATTGGAAAAGAGGCATTTTTTTTTTTTTTTTTTTTATAGAAGAAGGGGCAAACGAGCATGCGGCTCACCTGATGTTAAGTGACTACCGCCGCCCATGATCAACCGCAACACCAGGAGAATTGCGGGTGCGTTGCCGGCCCTTTAGAAAGGAGTAAGCTCTTTTCTTGAAGGTCCCCAGGTCGTATCGGTCCGGAAAAATCGCCGGTGGTAAACTATTCCACAGAGAGGTTGTACGTGGAAGAAAACTCCTTGTAAAACGTACAGTGGTGGACCGCCAAGCATCCAGATGGTGTGGATGGTATCGGGACGTTTGACGTGTAGTGCGTTCACGAAATTTGGCGGCTGGGATTAATCCGAACAATTCCTCAGAGTACTCCCCGTGATAGATGCGATAAAATACGCAAAGAGATGCAACATCTCTTCGCAGCGCCAGTGAATCGAGCCGATCGGAAAGCACTCGGTCGTCGACGATTCGAGCCGCTCTGCGCTGGATGCGGTCAAGTGGAAGAAGCTGGTACTGGGGAGCCCCAGCCCAGAGATGGGAACAGTATTCCATGTGCGGCCGAACCTGCACCTTATAAAGTTGCAGGCGGTGTGCCGGCATGAAATACTGTCCCGCTCTGTTGAGCACGCCAAGCTTTTTAGAGGCCAATTTGGCCTTCCCTTCCAAGTGACCACGAAACTGCACGTCACTCGATATGTCGACGCCGAGGATTCCGATACTGGCTGAGGCAACAAGGGGGAGTGCCTTGAAACTGAGGGGATACGACAAAGGGGTTCTTTTTAGTGGTTAACGCGCAAACTTGTGTCTTCTGGGGATTAAACTGGACTAGATTTAGTCGCCCCCAATCCGAGACTCTGTCCAGCAGAGACTCGACTTCAGACACAAGTTTGTCCCGGCACTCGGAGACGTTTTCCCGAGAAATATTGGCTCGGCCGGTGTAAAGAGCATCACCAGTGCTGTCATCTGCATAGCAATGAATGTTACGGGTATGCAACATGTCATTGATATGCAGAAGAAACAGCGTTGGCGATAGCACGCAGCCCTGTGGAACACCAGCATTAATAGGCATGCAATCGGAGCTTGCACCGTCTACAACGACCTTGATGCTCCGATCTGCAAGAAAGCTGGTGATCCAATCGCACAATTTCTCGGGAAGCCCATAGGAAGGGAGCTTCGAAAGAAGCGCTTTGTGCCAAACCCGACCACGGCGAAAACCGTATTGGCGGTCACTAATCAGCTGGTGATCTTCAAGGTACCTCATGAGCTGGCAGTTTACAATGGACTCCATTGTTTTGGAGAACAAGGAGGTGATGGCGATTGGCCGGTAGTTGGACGGGTCAGAGCGGTCGCCTTTTTTAGGGATCGGGTGGACGTAAGCCGTCTTCCATGATTTTGGGACTACGCCTAGGGAGTAGGAGTACCGGAAAAGACGCGTTAAAACCGGTGCCAACTCTGGAGCACACGTCCTCAGCACAATTGGGGGGATTCCGTCAGGCCCACTCGACTTG